GTATGACTGATCAGTACTACAAATGAACAGAAACTTTTTCAAGGATACGAGACTCCCTTAAAGGGAATAAATATTTCGAAGTGTTTCCAGTGAACTGGACGATGGGGGTTAAAGGTTGCACTTCTTGGATGAAATGCCCTGAATTATATTGCTGTTGGCAAGTTAGGCACCTAATAAAACCAGTTCAAGATTTATGACTACCATAAAATGTGTTAAAGAGAGAATAACTTGAAATGCCCAGAAATACTTTGAAAATGAAAAAAAAATTGAATCACAAAAGAAAAAGTTCGTTATATAGAAAATGCACTTAACTATTGGGAGGCTATTTTACAAAGAAAATAGTGAAATGTTCTTAATTCCAGGTAAAAGTTTGCTATATAGAGGCTTGTAATATGGAGGTTCAACTGTAATTGATTAAAGTGTATCATATCTAGTGATGAGAACATCAAGTTGGCGAGTTTGGGACCCTCTGGATTCTTCTAGAAGGTAGTGGATTTCGTCACTAAGTTCACGCTTAATGGCGCATACGGAATTTTCTGGAAGTTTTCGTCGGGTTTATAAATTGGAGTGCCAGCCGCAACCGATCAGTCTTGATTAAACCCGCAAGTAGTGAGTATTGTTTTCACTAGCAATTAGCACGGTTGTGCTTGTGAATAATCTTTATTTACGTGTATTTTTAAACACTGATTATTGTGTTTGATTGCTGTTGAAGGTGTGAAGACCTTCAGATATTTACCCTGTGAATATTGCCGCTGAATCCTGTGTTGAAAGGATTGGATTTTGATAATAAATTCGCATCACTCTTAAAGAAATGTTTATTTTCTTTGTGAATGTTTTGCATAAAATCCACCAACCCGGATCTACTTAACAATATATATTTATCATTTGAAGAAAAGGAAAACTAAAAATTTTCATTTTTTATGCATCTGAAAATTTCAACAAAAAGACTGCTCATATCAATGGTAATTTTCTAAAAGTTCGTAAGCAGTAATTTAATTTAAAGTAAGTGTATTGGTAAATTTCATATAGATCAGGGGTTCTTAAACTGTGGTCTACAGACTCCCAAGGTTCCCCAGCACCTTTCTAAGGGGTCTGCGGAGACATTTTTGTCACTTGAATATGCTGAATCTTAGTCTTCAAAGAACACATGCTACTGTTTTTCAAGTAGAAGACCAAATTGAAGTGAATGTCAAAAAGTAAGAATTGTGGAATGATTGCCACATTTCAAAAAGAGACTATAATTTTGAAGCATTTCCTGATCAGAAATATTTCCCCCATTTTATTGAAGAGAAAATCTCTGAAAAAGACATAATGGTTATTGTACAACATTTACTAAATTTAAAGCAAAGTTTCCATGAATATTTTCCTGTCAAAAAAGCTCTAAAAGTTCGTATGCATTATTTATGGGACAAAACATTTTCAGCTCTTTTTATTTTAAAAATAAGTACAGAAACCATCTGGAAAGCATAGAACTGAAATTACAACTGCAGACTTCAATTATTTCACCTTATATAACAGCACTTTTTAAAGAAATGCAACACCATCTTTCTTGCTAAAAGTTTTAATTAATACAGTAAGCCCATTATTTATTTGAAATTAGTGTTTTGTAATATTTATACACAAATATAATTAGATATTTACACTGTTTTGTAAAAGAAAAAAGAAGAGTTTAAAAGAGATTTACTTTTAAATCACTCAGCCATGTGTTGGGAGTCAGGTGGGTTATTCAAAATCTTGAAGGTCAGCAATATTAGGCTGATACATAAAGGGGTGTGTCTGTGTGCAGTAATTGAAAGTTTAAGAAATGCTGATATAGATTATTAAGTAAAAAGTACAATGTTTACTTTTTTTTATTTATTTACAAATTTTTAATATTTAACTATTTGGCCAAATAACTTCTTAAACAAAGAATTAAGATTTAAGAAATATATACACTGCATGTATAAAGAACCCACACCTAGATAATGATAGACTTTCTGCTGAATTGATTAAAAGTATTTAATAAATATGTGTAGGGCACATCATAAAAAAAATTGCTGTACAAATTACTTTCACAACTAAGTGGCTAGTCATACTAAGGCTCATTACAGAACTATTTTTAACAAATAAAATACAATAATTATTTACAGTACTCACTTTTGATGTGACTTTCCATCTAGCTTGTTGAGGAAAATCATTGATTTCCAATTCTTCCTCATATTTGCGGAATGTCTCGACAGCCTGCTCCTCATCTTTGCCTTCTTCATCTGCTTTCGGCTGATAGTTCAGCTTAGCATGTAATTTCTCAGCCCGCTGTTCTGCAAGTGTCTTAGCCTAAAATGGCAATTTAAGAGCAAGTTAATTACACTAACAAGAAAGATTTTTCAAAATAAATAATAATAATAACAAAATAATAAATATTATTTTAAAGCACATTGTCTTTAAATAGTTAAACTTATCTGTATATATTTTGGACATACAAAACAATATCTCTATTTATATCTCTGTTTTGTAATTATGATACAAGTGCTTTTTTACTGTTTCCAAAGGCATTACTTGATTTTATAAAACATTATTAAATTTCAAATGAATTTTAAGCTTTAATAATCCAGAAGCAATAGACAAATTTTTTTCAGTTGAAGATTACAGCTTAATTACAACTTATCATTAAGTTAACACATTAATCTGTAATTTATTATTACTTTAAAAAAAGCTTTATTCGGATTAATCTCGGAGATGCATTAGAAAACAAAAACAGAGGAAATATAGCATTATCAATTACTTTACCAGATAATGAAAAAATAATAATATAGCTTCCAATCCAGTGATATAGATATTATTTTTAAAATTAATTCTATTATGGTTTCATTATCATTTAATGTTAATTCTCTAAAGTTTTCAACTGAAGACTCAATTATAATTTTTAAGAGTATAATTTAATGAAAAGTCCTGTAGTGTTTTTAGAACTACCTCTCTCTATTCTAAGTTATTAGAATTGCTTGATTACTATAAAGTACACCCAACAGAATAAAAAACGAATCTTTTACCTCCTACTTTAACCACTATTTAAGGATATATATTTTTGAAAGATTTCAACATTCACAAAAGAGTACAATAAACCACAATTGTGAAGAAAATATGAGACAGAGAAAGAATGTAACGTTAACAATATATTTACAAAAATTTTGCGTGAATAAAAAAAAACTTAAATGCATTTAAAAAAAGGTTTTTAAAAATTATTAATATGATCACACAAATATCCTCAAGATCTGAAGATATTGAAAATAAATAAATTTTACGAGCTTATTATTCACAAATCATATTTTCACCACAGAAAATATTAATGTTTTGCTTTCAAATTGTTAACATAATTTCTCCCAATATTCATTAAAATTTTGATACTTTCTTTTTCATAGGTTTAAAATTTTAAACCACATTTAAAAATTCTTAAATTTGGTAAAATTTTTATATGTATGAAAACTCTTGTATAATCCATAAAATCTGATTAAATATCCAGAATCGAATACATTTTCTTCAAACAAATAACAGTTTAATAACAATAATACAATCACCTCCTCCACTGTAAATTTCAATTATTTTTTATACTGAAATACATTTGAGAAACTCTTATATACATTATGAATAATAATTTATTTAAATATTTGTTTTGAAGAGTTTTCTTTTATTACTGAGATTTTTACCTATGCATAAGACTGAAATTTAAGAGTATATAAACTTAGCCCCTTATCTATGTCTACAAGCTCATCTTACCGAAATAACAGGTTGACCCAAATGTCCTTTTAGCACAGCTTCAGCAGTCTGCTGGGCTTCTGCTCCTATATTCCTCTGCAAACTGATTCTAGAAGCCAGTTTTTTGGCCAATTCCAGCTTCTCTGCACTTGCTATTGTTCCACCAAGACCACCGATTCCACTAGGCAAAATGGTAATTTCTTGGACTCTTTTCTTTGGAGCCAAGAGTGTTTCAATCTCTTTGTCAATGTCCGCTTCAGCATCCTCGTCATCTGAGTCTTGAAGTCCTAGAGCAGCCTTTTGGAATTTCTTCTTCTCATTTGCGAGCTGAGCTTCAGCTTCGTCAAACTTGAAGCCTTTACCAGAGAAACCACTGCTACTTTTTACTTTTTTCCCTTCCTGTATTAGAAAAAAACAATATTTGTCAGTTTTAAATCATCAACAAAATATTAAATATTTTGGCAGCTTTTCTTATTGTTAAAATCACTTTAAGGTTTTATAATAGGGGTTATAGACTAGTAAAAAGACTTTGCATGACTGAATTAAAAAAAATTGCTGATGTCATCTTTTGTCCAATAAAAAACATTTTTGATATACTACATCGACTGAACTAAAAAAATTGTTGGTGCCATCTTGTTAAATAAAAAAACTAATCTAATCTTTAATAAATGTCTTTTTCTCTCTTTCCAATTCTAAAAATATTTCATTTTTAAAACTTATCTTGAAAGAAATTATCCCACAAGATGTGCAACTTACTTAAAATTACATTTGAAATAATATATATTAAATTAGAAGTTTTAAATATTTTTAAAATTTGATTAAATACAATTATGATAAAAAAAATCCTTTATCAACAATTTGAAAATTAGAAACAATTAGTAATTACTAGATGTTCAAAAATGGCAGTTTTAAAACTACAATAGATAATTTTGCAATAATAAGTTGAATTTAATCATTTCTAACACCTAACAAATAAAAAATAATGTTAAAAAAAATATTGAAAGTCAGTTCCTAGTTAGGTCAGCAAAGAAAATTTTTTTTTGTTACTTTTGATTAAATAATTACAACTAATATAAATATGTATATACATATGACAAAATCACAATTATTTAAAAAAAATAAATAGAAAGCGATTTTCCTTGCAATTTTCCATTTTCCTTTCTGTATAGGGTGTTGGACTATTGTGTTTGTTTGTTACTATTTGTTCATTAAATTTAATTATTCTAGTAAAATAGTACAGTAAGAAGAAATCCCATTCCCAGAAATCAGTCCATCCCAGGTGGGATTCGAAACCACGACCTTTGGATTAGAAGTTCAATGCATTGTCTATAGTGCTACAGGGATACAATGAGCGATAATCCTTTCTATATATGGTATTGGACTATTATTTTTTGTTTACTATTTATTCATTAATTAAATTTAATTAAAAAAGTATTTTATTAACAATTGAAAATTTGGACAAGATATATATACCATAAAATCCGGTGTATAATGTGCACTTTTAATGCAAAAAATAAGATTGATATTTAAGGATGCCCATTATATGCCGGGTATAAAAAGGAGAGCTTTAAACATAAAGAACGAGATGTGCATAAAATAGACTTCTGCAAAGACCATAGTACTGTTTATTTAAAAGAAATGCCATACCTTAAAAACTTAAAGGGTTGTTTTTCCAGAAATATACTATTTTTTCAAAATCCTGGGGTAATTCCTTGAATAAATGGCTTTAAAACATAATAGCATTGTTTATGTACATTGCAGGTTCCTTTGTAATAAAGAGGGTGTGCATTATACAGCGAATATACCTTAAAATTAAAAAATGCAGCTTGAAAGTATAGGTGTGCATGTTATATGCCAGATTTTAAGGAACATATATATCTCTCTATATGTAAGACGCATTTGTTGTCTGTTCCCTTATAACTCAAGATCCAGACAACCAAATAACGTGAAATTTGGTACACGTATACAAAATTACATGGGGAAGGTTCTTAAACGGGTTTCACATTCGTAATTCTATCTAAATTTTTGAAAATTTAATTTTTAAGTGATTTTCCAGTGTTATTACGTCATATGATGTCACGTTTCTCACTAAGTGGAAAATTTATACTTTACATGCAGTTTTTCAAGATTATTACATATTTTTACTATAGCTATGTTTATCGGTTGGAATATTTATTCAATTTTTCTGTTCTTTGATATTTAATTAGGATTATTTTTCAAATAAATCATTTTTTTTAAGGATTATTCTTTTAACTAAAATTTTGTTTTGTTGTTTTGGCAACATTTAGGTATTATTGCGGGATGTTTATGTGTGTGGTTTTGCTTACCAATTACAACTTATTTATTTCTTTAGAATGCGGATTATAATTTTGACAAACTAAAACTTCTAATTGATAAGGGTTATATTTCAGTTTTATTACTGCAATTAGTGTAAGTATAGTATTTCCGTTTTCATTATCTGTTTTAGATAGTATGAAATTAATAATATTTTGCAATTTCATGTGTCTTTATTTTAACCTTTAAGGGTATACTATTGGCTTCAGTGCATAAAATTGCCTTGAAGAAAATCAAACTTGGGTAATCATACTGCCCAAGCAAAAGCAGTGTTGGTAGTAATTACATATCAAACTGGAATAGGCATCAGAGAATGAGCAAAACTGACAAATGGCTTAAATACCTGTTGAGGAAGCAGGTAGTTGTAAGATAAATTATTTTTGGAACTTATGTACTATCCTAACAATCGCCAACATTCAAAATAACTTGCCAAGTTGGCAGCCTCGATTTCGTATGTCATATATATGCTGAATTGTGTGAGCCATGTGCTTTGTTTCATATGTCGCCAATAGGTTGCGGTTATATGTAAGTACCTTATTTTTTCAAATTATGCTTGTGCATTGATAAAGTTAGTTCAGTTCTTTTTATGTTAGTTAATGTTAGTATTGTACTTCATTTTTGGATTTATTTTTATGCTCGGGATATATATACAGTCAATAATTTTTTTATTTAGTACTTACGTATTATTGCACAATCGCCAACGTTCAAGACAACTCGCCACTTTGGCAATCCCAACTTTGTATGCATCGAATTGGCAATCATGTCCTTCATTTTGTATAATGTCACCAATATGTTGCAATAATACATAAGTACCTTTAATTCTGTACATTACTATAACATTAAACTGGCCACAACATACCAATTTAGCGTGATTTCAAAATCATGCCAAAAATGAGTAGCCTACCAGTATGAAATTAATATGAGTATTATCTTAGTCTGTTTTATCTTTCCCTCCAGTAATCCTTAATTAATTCAATATATAATTTATATTTTTTTTATATTTTAGTACTTACAACATTTTTTTGGCGATTATGTACTGCAAATATTTTTTACACATTGCGATGTCTTCGGAAAAATTAATCAGTGGTATTTTTCTTAAATATGTTTTTTTTATCTGTTTTTGACAATTTTTAAAAGTTTGTTTGATGTCTGTCTGAAATGCAAATAGCAAAATAAATATTTTACAATATATATATTGTGTTTGAACAAAAATGTTTATACTGATTTATTCAAAATATTGAGCCTTCTTTTATTTTTGATATCTTTTTAAGATTTAATATTATGCTATAACGAGCTATACCCAGCTAAATATTGCTGTGGCTCAGTCAGCTTTAAAAGACTGGTACACCCTAAAGTATGTCATGAGGCTTACAAAAGTAATAATACACAAGAATTCAAACAAATCTATATCTATATACATATAAGATGCATTTGTTGTCTGTCTAAATAAACATTCTCTTTCACGATACATCATTTAGACAAATTCTCAAAATTTGTTTGTGTGGTTAGTAGTTAATTATAACGCTATAATTTTAATTGAATAGGCAGATATTGCATTTTTAAGTATAAAAATAATTATAACTACTGTACCGTATTTTTTGGAGTGAGTGAATATTAACGTTGCACTGTTCAGCGACACAAGGGCTTTTGGCGACGGACCACGTAATTTTGAACCATGGTCAAGTGACGTGGACGACACCTGAGCTGGCACCCCCTTCTCCTAACTACCACGCCACACCAATTTAGCAGGAATATTCTTTGATATCCACTCTTTCAAGATATATGACAGCACGCGTTCTATGATGAGTATTTTAGCGGGGAAGGCGAATAGTTTTGTAGCAGATATTGCGTTTTCAGCGGATTGCAAAGATTATCATTTTGTCCCAAAAAAATAGTTAATGTCAAAATTTAAGTAACTTATGTTTTTGTATGTTTATGGAGACCTTAGAAAACGATCTGACTATTTATTTTAAGTGAACGGTGTATATAATTAATTTTACAGTGGAATATCTTTAATTAATTTATTAGCTCTAATGGATTAAATTTCCTTAAGTGGAGTATTTTGTTTATGTATGTCCCTTAATTTTCAATGTAGTGACCTAAAAAAATATTGCATGAAAAAAAATTGCAGTAAATCATAATGCGGTAGATAAAGCATTAACGTGCATCCCTCTCCTACACGGTGGGTTTTACAAAGCTCTAAGAAAGCTCAAGCTATGAAAGTAGCTAGACATTTGCCAACTTGACTCTATCGTCAACATTTCGCTATGTGTTTCATTGAATCGCCATTTTTATTTAAGAAACGGCGTTGCTTGCGAATATTACAATTTTAACATAAAATAAATTCAACAGAAAGTAATATTAATGTATGACACTTTCAGATAAATTATTTACAATATTTTAAGTGTCATAAAACTTTTAACAATGTGTTACTTTTGCTGAGCAGAGATCAGCTTAGGGAGGTATTTTCAAAAATCAACCCTCATGAGTGTTACGGGGAGTTATAAATATAAAAAAAAAATACTTTTTATCAGCTGTTAGATCTACATACTTAAAATTTAATAAAGGTATTTTTTCTTTCTTTTTTTTCTTCAGCTGAGATATGCGCGAAAAGCTTTTTTTTATTTAATTTGCAATTCACTTAAAATTAACTCATTAAAAACTTCTTTATCCTTAAATCTGTGTTGTTTAATTTTTCAGTTCACCCATGCGAAGAACGGGTATACCAGCTAGTATATATACATATATAGGGAGAGTGTGAACTATAATAGTAGGAATTGGAAAAAGTACTTACACAAATAAACAGATTGCATTCTGCATTAAATAACTATCATAACAAATACATTAGTCAGTTATATCTTACCATCTCTTGCTTTAATTTGTATTCATCCCATAATTTTTGGAGATCTTCTGGCACAGGATTTTGACTTTGCTCCAGTGCTTTAATGATGTCGCCAGAATACCTTGCCTGTTCAGATGTTAAAAATGTATAAGCATAACCTTTATTACCAGCTCTACCAGTTCGTCTATAAAAGAGATTATATTTTTTAAAACATTACAATGACGAATAATTACAACAGTAGAAAATAAATAAATAACCTAAAAATATTCAAAATTATAACAAATGAAATTTAATATGTTGAAATTATTCAAAACCATAGCACATTTTTAGAATATTTATTTTACTGCAACATTGCTTTACCATATGAATTCAAAATTATGAGAAGTATAATCTTTTAGAAAGCAATTGATTATGCATGTAGTAATTCTTTGCTCAGCATTCTAAAATAATCAAACAATGGAAAACATGAATACTAAATTTTTAATGAGAAAACAAATATTGTTTTGATATTTTCATGTCATTCTTTTCAAATTGCATCTATCAGAAATAAATTTTAAAAATGAATTTAAATTTTGAGTTAATTTAGCAGAGTAACTTAAGTTAAGCATTGAAACAGGTTTTATTTTAGTAATTGAACAAACTTGAAGTAATAGAACTTACCCACATCTGTGAACATAATCTTCAATATGATTAGGGCAGTCATAATTTACAACTAAAATTAAATGTTTCACATCTAAACCTCGAGCAGCAACTGATGTAGCAATCTAAATTAATATAACATAATTAGCTACATGTACAACAAAAATGCAAAAACATAACTTTTAAATATCTTTCAGGAACAGTGAATAAAATATACATTGTTATTTATTTTTATCAATAAATTTTACTTTTGATAGCAAATCTCTTTTTATTTAAAAGCATAAATGTGCTTCAACCAAAAATTAAAGTAGATTATAAATATGTATTTTAAATCTTTCATTACATTTATCTTTAAATTTGAGCTAATCCCCAAAGTATTTCACGATAATAATAAAAAAAAAAGACACAGAGCTATATTTCTTTCTTAAACAGAAATATTGTTTAAATTAAACATTTTTCTAATAACAAATTCACTTAACACAGGGGAAATTCAAAGCATTCCTGAAAGATTTTAAATTTTGGGGGTATT